AAAAAAAAATTTTAAGCTCATTTCCCTTATTTGCGTTTTGCATTGACATATTTTTCCCACTTTTATTTCTAGTCAAGAAAGTGTTTTTGTTTTTATTTTTCTTAAAAGCCACTTGTCCAATACTAAGTAATAACCTAGATTAAGCAAATCAGATTGGTGCCATTAATCTTTATTTTTTTAAGCTAGGAAGAAAAGTTTTTTTTCTTTAAAAAGGTTTTGATAAAGAGCTTTTCTTAAGCCAACTCTTTTTATTTTTATTTTTTCCAAGCCTATATTTTGTTATATTGGCTAAGATACAAAAGATAAATAATTTAGGGTATTAAATTTTAAACATTGATTACTTATAGATGAAATTTTTAATGATCTACTACTTACTCCTAAATTAGGAAAAGTTACAATCACAATTTATCTCAATTTTTTAGCTTTTTACATCTTAGTTCTAAAAGACACATCAAATATTTTGTGATATTAAGATGCATTATTAGTCCGGTTCCAATTATAAAGAAAGAACATGACCTTCTAATACATGTTATCAAATTTTGGTTGATCCTCCTTATTCACAGTTGTTGCAGATACTGAATCAGTGCACCTTGGGCATACAGGGTTAAGTTCCTGCAAGCCTCTGATCACACTTTCATCAGCTGATCAGTGCATAACTTTGTTTTATGTGTGTTTCTGTTTAGAGACACCTTATTTAATGTATGTTGTTATTTTAACATTGAACTCACAACCAACAGCACTATAACATCATGCCTCGACGAAGCTATCCAGTACACATATTTTCTCTGTAGGGCACATCACTTAGACACAATGCATGGCGGCCAATTTAAACCGCAAAATTGTTAACACAAAAATGTGAAATACACGGAACTAAACAGTCCGAAAAAAACACAGTTGTTTAAAGTGGTAAAGCTGAAACAAGAAGACAGAATGACCTCAGCTGGGAATGTACATGAGCAACTCAGATTTCTTGCTGTTCAGTGTCCATACATGACCATGGAGGTGCCATGAGTATTGATTGATTATAAGGTTACAGATTTTAGCAGGTATGGCCAAATTTGCAAATACAGGATCTACGAATAATAAGGATCAACTATTTTTAAGACCTAATAGTTCTACATAAATAAAACCTGCATTGTTAAATGCTAAAGGTCTCAAAGATCGTAGCAGTGACACAGAAATCAAATGTTTGTTCGTTATTTTTCCTTTGATTTGCAGAGTCCAGCCTCTGATGAAGCAGGAGAGAAAGAAGCCAAGTCTGATTAATATCGTATACCAAGTCTTATCAGTGGTTCCTGTCACCCTTGTACAATCCAGAGGAATATTTTTATCAACTATTTTGTAAATGCAAGTTTTTTAGTAGTTCTAGAAACATTTTTAAGAAGGAGGGAATCCCACCTCATCCCATTTTTTAAGTGTAAATGCTTTTTTTTAAGAGGTAAAATCATTTGCTGGTTGTTTATTTTTTGGTACAACCAGAAAATAGTGGAATATTGAATTATTGGAGGCTTTGACTGTCCTGGGTGTCAGCTTAACATTCCATAGATGGAGGTAGTTTTTATATCCTGTAATACAAAGCATACTAAATGGCAATTTGAAGTCACAGTCACATATTTACTGTGTCTTGAACATTTAAAATTAGTTCTATTCCCATGTTATTTTTTAGTAGAATTGTTTCTTAAAGAAGACCACTCCTTAATCATTGCTCTCCCTATCAGAACTGTGTGCACTCTGTAACATCTTTGGTCATGGTAGTCTAGTTTTCCTAATAGTTTTGTTAATGTGTTGTGAATGATTAGAAATTTGATTATGTAGTGTATATGATATTAAATTGTGAATTGGTGGGACTTATGTAACAGCTTACCAACATCTGGAGATACTGGTACTTGATATCCTCTTAAGGAAAATTTGCCTCCAAATTTGAAGCTGGAAGGTCACTGGAAAACTTTTTAAAAAAATCATGATATGTGGCTTTTTAGAATTTCGGTACATATGTTAAGAATTGTGTACAAATTGAAATGTCTGTAATGATCCTCAACACAACCAATAAAATCTCAATTATGAAAGAATGTTTTGAAGCACATGGTATAAGGTCTGGTTTAAATTTTATTCAGGGGGTTTTCACATTTGATCTTCCAAAGTTTTTAAAATAAAAGTGTTTAATATTTTTGTAATACTTGAACATTTACTGTGTAGTATAAAGATGTTTGTATGACTATGTCGGTTTAATAATGAAAAAAGTCCAATGGCCTCTGAAGCAAAGTAAATATATAATTATGTATTTTCCTTATGTGAGATAAGCTTATAAATACAGAATAGGCTACAACTAGCTCTACTATGGTTTGTATTAGCATATTATTTTCAAGATTTGCTTTCATGTACATTGTACTTGCATTTTGCCCTCTGAATAATCTTTAGAGGTGGTATAAGGCAACTGCAGTGATCTGGCAAATGTGAACACTGCGTCAGAGAAAGGACCTTGACAAGGTTACCATACAGAGGGGACCTTGGTACAGAATTTAGGCCTCTGCACTTGACGTTTTACTTTGCCTATGGACTGATTAGTAGGCAAGAATGCTTTCAAAACACGAGTTTTAGGGCATCACAGACCTCTGCAATGAGCTTGAGCAATGAGGCATGATCTCAAAAAAATGAGGCTACAGATAAAAGCAAATTCAAGGACGATGACTTGGCACCCAAAAGGCTTTGACAACCCCCAGGGGATGGGAAAATATTAGAGGCCAAATTCCCCAATTCTTAGTGGTCATGACACTGGAGGACTGAAACAGTGATACATAAATTTGTCTTTAATTCTTGAATTATAGATAGGGTAGTTTTTGGATATGTAAATCTAAAATGTTAAACTGAAACATTTCTTTGTGTGGATACCTTACACAAATTTTTGCATCAGAATTTGTCTAGATCCTATGTGTAGCCGGTAAAAGATAAAAACTAATAGGGGTAGAGGGACGAGTGAATTTTAGCCCTGTAACAAAAAATCTTAGTGTTGCACAGGTGACCCTTGAACAAATCTGTGTATAACTTTATTTTTGGTGGCTGGCATGTATGGGGGTATGAACCCATCACCTTGGTATTATAAGGCTGAACTCTAACCAACTGAGCTAAACGTCAGCCCTGTGTTTAACCTTTGGCTCCCCCACAACTTTTTTTTTTTTTTAGAAAGATGACCGGTAAGGGGATCTCAACCCTTGACTTGGTGTTGTCAGCACCACGCTCAGCCAGTGAGCAAACCGGCCATCCCTATATAGGATCCGAACCCATGGCCTTGGTGTTATCAGCACCGCACTCTACCGAGTGAGCCACGGGCCGGCCTTCCCCCACAACTTAACTACAACTTAGGTAAGTCTTGCAGGGCACCACTGCATTGCCCATCCTGAGCCCCAAGGGGGTGGGCAGGGGGCATGTTACTGCCTTACTAAAGTACTACTAGCCTACTATTAGGTAGACTACTTAACTATTAGGTTAGGTATGTCAGTAGTGCATATCAAACCCACATACCTAACCAAAAAATTTCCAATATATTTAAGTCTATAAATGGGCCCTCACAGTTCAAACCAGTGTTCACCTCTATGAGTGCTGATAAATGTTTACATTTTCTCAATTGTTCTGCACTCGTTGCTAATAACATACAGTCGTGCCGCAAAATGACGTTTGCTAACGTGGGACCATATGGCGGTGAGCAGAGCAATAGGCTTATACCTGATAGCCTAGGTGTATAGTAGGCTATGCCATCTAGATTTGTGTAAGTACACTCTATGATTTTTACGCAATGAAATCAACTAAGGTCACATTTCTCGTGACGTTACAAATACAATTCCATGATTGTATTTAAAGGAATGATTAGTTTTTCTCAAAATGTAACAGGTAAGGTTTTGGGCTTATAGATTGATACCTAAAAGAAATTGTAGAAAATCGGAATGGAAGTACTTGTAGATTTACCTGCCTTGTTTTGTTACATCTGACTCACTACCCAGGTATTTGGTAGCCCTAAAGTTGCACGTTATGCTTTTATGATAAAAATGAATATCAACTGGATGTTCTCTTCAGCTGTCAAAGGAAAACAATTACTTTACAAAAAAGCCATTTTGAGGCATATTTTCTGGGATCAGTACTTAAAGAGTTAATCTCTTGCCCTTTTTTTTAATGGAATGCTTCATGAATGTGTATGTCATCCTTGCGCAGGGGCCATGCTAATCTCTGTATCGTTCCAATTTTAGGATATGTGCTGTCAAAGCGATCATTCTCTGGCCCTTTTGACAACTAGTTCTGAACAGTGAGAACTGAATGATCAGAATGGCTTAACTGGACATAGTATCAGACATTCTAAAAGTGTAAGGAAGATAACTTCTTAATGATGCAGACTAATCAGGCAGTCTTTAATTGGTTAATTAGAAAAACCAGTTAACAAGAACCCTGCATTCTCTTGGCTTTTCAGAGGTTGTTTGAGCTGTGTCAAATGTGGGTTAATCAGGGGATTTAAGGCACAGATCTTGGTGTCTAGTACCCAGATTCATGATAATCATGGAGGGCCCAGGGGGAAATTATGTTCTGTTGCAGCAGTGATTGGAAAGTGTGTATAAAAGTGTTTTGTGAGGGTGGGGATGGGAGTTAGGTGGGTTGGGCAGGTGCAAGGAGAAGTGTGTATGTAACTAAGTACAGGAGCAATTCATGCTCATTGGAAGAAAACAGCAAATGCAGACAAACTAAAACGAGCCATAATTCACTTAGACAACTATTTAAATAGCTAAAGGTGCATTTTTCCCTTATCCTTTTCTATGCTTATGCAAAAATGGAGTCATTGTTATATTTTGTAATTTCATAATGTGAAATTTCTCCAATTTTAATGAATACACTTCTATAGCATTTATAACCACTGCATAGCATTTTATTTCAAGAACATGTAATTTGTCAGGCATTTAATTTTTTTCCTATTAAAACAAGCATTGTGAAACTAAAATGAGTAATCTCTATTAATCCATACAGATAGATCTAAAGATATATCTCCTTATCACAATCCCCAGTTGTATGTGTTTGCAGTAAAAATAATTGAAAGACAGTTGGAAATTTCTAAGCATTAAACTTAAACAGATGTTGGGATGCAGCTCAGTAACAAATTGGTTTTAATATCATGAAAATTACTGTTATATTAAAATATATATATAAAGTTAGAAACTATTTAATCCCAGAAGCTAAAAGAAATTATTTTAGACACGTTGGTGAATTTTCTTCATATATGTTTGGGTTTTTCATTAATTGTTAAATGTTTTAATACTTGCTTAATAGTTCGTGTGGCTATGCCGTAATCTGGTCATTGCAGTTTTTTTGTTTGTTTGTTTGTTTTGACCGGTAAGGGGATCACAACCCTCAGCACGGTGTGGTCTGCATAACGCTCAGCCAGTGAGCTAACTGACCATCCCTATGTAAGATCCGAACCTGCGGCCTTGGCGCTACCGGTGCTGCATTCTCCCGCGTGAGCCACGGGGCTGGCCCTGCAGCGTTTTTTCAAAGTTACTCTTTATTATGGATAATTTTGCCTGTGCCCAAAAGCAGTATACTGAAGCCCCATGTACCAGTCAATTAGTCCCAATAGTCAACCCATTGCCAATCCTGCCCCAGCTTATTTTTTGAAGCAAATAAGAATGGATATTTTAAAAATAGGAGATTAAAAGGGAACAAAATATTTACATTTATGGGAAAAAATATTTACATTTAGGAGTAAAAAATGTTAATTCACCTTTGATTGTTTACATATTAGGTTGGATACAGACTAAATTTAACAAGAAACTTATTTTATTTTATTTTATTATTTTATTTTTGTGGCTGGCTGGCAAGAAGCTACTATTAAAAAAATATATATCCAGCATTGTTAGTTCCGCCTTCAGAATCACATATCACCTTCCAGATGCTGATTCCACAAAAAATTTTTCCAATGAAAAATAGATAAGTGGGTGTTTGAAATTTTTTGAGGGCATGGAAATGTACAGTGATGAGATTCTAAGAAGGAATGGGCGAAGGGCAAACAGTAGCACAGGGAAAAATGCAGATCTGCATTAGGACCATCACATCTGCTGCTCCATCCCACCGCCTCTAGGTTGCCAATGGACATGACCCCACCATAGAAGGGGCAAAGGATAGGTAACAGGACTTGCCTGATGTGATGGGAACGCCTTTCTTGGGGGTCAAGTAATGCAGTCCCTGGCACACAGCACCCAGTGAAGGTTTGCTTCTCTTCCTGAATGATTTTCAGAGCTTACAATAACTAGATTCCTAATGTATTTTTCCTTCCTTTACAACAATATATATTGTTGAGGAAAGCCTTCAAAACTACACTTGATTTAACTAACTTTAAGTTGAACCTTATAATGGAGAACTCTTGCTCATAAGGTCTGGCCGTGGTACCTTGTTAGAATTTGGCTTTTGTTAAGTCCTTAAGTGTTTCCTTATATCCTGAACTGTGAAGATTACTGCTGTGTTTTATGTTTAATTCATAAATGAAAATTATGTTAATATTAAATTTTATCTCTGAAAGCACTTAATGTTACCCTTAGAAAATTCCAGTTTAAAAATGTATGAAGACTAATGGTAATAAATTCAAGTTACGTATGAGAATTTTAAAAGACACCAATTTGTTATGCATAATTCATAGAGAAGTAAAATTGAGTGTCTTGCATGCTTGGATGTGTCTATGTGAGGGTGTGGCTGCATATTAAAATGTGCAAAACTGTAATTTCCACCAGTGCTGATTTGGGTTTTCAAAAGAAATATATTTAAAGACAGCCTTAAATGTCATTGCATAATCTCACTTTCCTCTTCACTTCTTCTTCTTCTTTTTTTTTTTTTTGTCCTCTTTTGAGACCGGCCGCACTGCACTCAGCCAGTGAGCGCTGTGAGTGCACTGGTCATCCCCATATAGGATCCGAATCCGCGGTGGCAGCGCTGCTGCGCTCCCGAGTGTGCCACGGGCTCGGCCCCCTCTTCACTTCTTATTTCACACATCTTTGAACCCAATGCAAACTAAATATTAAATTTAACTAATTGAGCTAATATGACTAAAGTGGTCTCAGA